ATGTTGTTGTTCCACAGACCTGTAGCCAGTAGAAAAGAACATGATAGATTAGTTGAAATCAAGGTTTGTTATAATTTAAAAATCATTGGCTGATCATGAATATTACAAAATATTAAGAATTGTGAGTGAGATAAATCTGTTATCATTTTAAGCTGTAAATAATTTCTGTTRATCTTTTTGCAGATTGGACTGGAAAAAATGAAGTTGAACAGGTAACAAGATTAATGATTAAGTCCAAAAGAGTAATGTTAGTTGTTCTTGAACTCATGGTAATTCTGTTTCATCAGGCAAATTTTTTCATTAGAGAATGTACAATGTAATTAGATGAATGATGTTCAATGAAGGAAGTTCAGGGAGGCTAGGAACCCCCATATCACATCTACAATGATTTTTTTTATTTCAAGGAGTATATTCTAAAATTATGATCCACTTAAAAACTTGCTATTGGTTTTTTAATTTTTTTTTATTTATGAAACATTTTGCTATTCAGCTCAATGCGAAGAGATGTTGAGGTAAGAATGAGCAGCGAAGGTCTGAAGAAAACAGGGATCAATTCAGATGTATGCCAGGTAAGTGTTGAGTGTTGTTTTGGTAATAAATCCTATTATAACTGTTGGTATAAATACTTTGATTTTCATTCCCAGCATGCAATGGTCCTTCCAGTCCTGGTGCATCACTTGCGATATCACATATGTCTAAAGACGCTTGACAGTAAGCTAGGATACACGTTTAAAGACCGCAMACTACTACAGGTATAGAGAGTGGTATTCACCCATGCACACATCTACGTAAGCACAGCGTAAATGGAGTTAAGAATTAGTTTATCCTTTCTAGCGCACAACTGCTTATTCATGTTTAGTTTCTTGTTTTTACACAAGTTTGTATTTGTTAGTAAAAAGGAGGATTTTTGGACTGATGAAATGAATTGATTGTTACATGTAACTCATTTACTTTTTACATTGATTGATTGCTTGATTGATAGGTTGATTGCCTTATTTTTTTTGATGATTGATTGCTTAATGGATTTGTTGGCTGATTGATTGATTGATTGGTTGATTGATGATTGGTTGGTAGGTTGATTGATTGATTGATTTGTTGATTGATTGATTGATTTGTTGATTGATTGATTGATTGGTTGATTGATTGATTTGGTGATTGATTGATGGTTGGATAGATTTGTTTATTGATTGGTTTGATGATTGATTGAGTGAGTGATTGATTAATTGATTGATTGATTGATGATTGGCTGATTGATTTAGTGATTGTAGTGATTGGTTTTTATAGATTCAGTCCTTTAACTTCAAACATTTAATGTTATACTTGTATTTTTGTCTATAGCTGGCTCTTACCCACCCTTCATATCATTTGAATTTTGGTATGAATCCTGACCAAGCACGAAACACCCTGACAAACTGTGGTGTGAAGTTACCAAGGTATGGAGACAGGAAGATACACAGGATGAACACCAAGAAAAAAGGTACACACTGGGAACCTGTTATGTAGTACTCTGTGCGTTGCTGTTATTGATGATTGATTTTAATTGACTGTTCATTTATTCAATTACTTTTTTGACTTATTGATTTATTTATTGATTGATTGATCGATTGATTAGAAGATTGATTAATGGACTGGTTGATTGTCTGGCTAATTGATTGGATTGATTGATTGATTGACTTGCTAATTGATTGACTGATTGATTGATTGACTAGCTAATTGATTGGCTTGTTTGATTGATTGACTTGCTAATTGATGGATTGATTGACTAGCTAATTGATTGGCTTGATTGGTTGATTGATTGATTAATGGATTGATTGATTGATTGACTTGCTAATTGTTGAGCTTGATTGATTGATTGACTTGCTGATTGACTGATTGATTGATTGACTAATTTATTGATTTGCTTGATTAATTAGCTGATTGGTTTATCATCTGATTGATTGACTGATTGTATAATCTAACAATCTTATCACACGAATCATAGGCATTACCCAGTTGATCCGTGTAATGGCAAATCTTGGCAAGATTGAAGAAAACCAATCTATGTAAGAAACTTTAAAATGTTTTAAAAATGTTGACTAATTCATAGCTAAATGGTTAGTGATAGTACATGTAATTTGTTATTTATGTTGGTGTATTGTTGTTAGTTTTAAGGACAGTTTGGGTAATGTAAATAACATCATCACCAAGGACAGTTACAGGTAAATAGGAAGACAGTTTAGAAGAATAGTTTAGATGTAGAAAGGAATTATTAGGAAGGTATGAAGGTATTAGTAGACAGACAAGCAGAGAACTATATGTATAGTATGACAGGATATTCTGGTAGTTAAGGCATCTTTAAAGTTCTACTGGTCTAGATTTGATTCTAAGACCAGGCAATCATTTTGTGTCATTAGGCAGGATGCTTTACTCTCTTAGTAGTAACCTTGTCTTGTTGGAAAGCATTCTCGTACCCCTGAGATACTTCTCAGTTCCCAACGAAAAATCAAAGGCTCTGGTTGGAGATGATACCCAAAGACCTAGAATCTTGGTCATACACTAGAGCAGATTTCGTATGAGTGGGACACTGTTACCGCACGGTTACCGCACAGTTACCGGACCTGGCCTGCAGAATTTTGGTGAACCAATGGGGCACTAGAATTTGGTTACAGTACGATTACGGTCACAGTACAGCACCGTCCATTTCCCACTCATATGAAATCCGCTCTATATGCATACTGGGGAAATACTGTGGGAAATTTTGAACCAATCAAATCAAAGACTCATTGGCCTCCAGCCAGAGCCTTTGATTTTCAGTTGGGAAAGTGAAAAGGATCTGGGTACGAGAATGGTTGGACAGTACATGATGCCATGAGGTGTCATCGCCATGCACTTTATTGTTATTAGTACCAGTTGTATATAAATGAAAAAAGTGTGTTTTTGATTTTAGGATAAGGCATAATGAACGACTTGAGTTTCTTGGTGATGCGGTGATGGAATACATGTGCAGGTATGAAATATAAATTTTATGTGATAAATTGATATACATTGAAAATACATCAATCCTCCTTTGAAGGCTTATTTTCATTGATGTGATTGAAGCATGGAAAGTATATGGCAAATAAACCCTTTTAGTGATCTGTTTTATGCTGTGTTAGCCTCAAAACCATGTAATAAATTCTTTTATTCACAACAGCCTGTGTAAATGCAAGAGCTGCGTGAGTATCAAGACAGTGGAACTAGTTTGCAATCTCACAAGTTTTATCTACATTTCTGAATATTTTAGCACACAATTGAGGCTAACACAGCGCGAATGAGATCGCAAAACTCATATGGCAGTTAATTTTTGGTAGTATAAAATTATCAAATTATGAGGAAATCACAACTCATTAAACCAATGATCGTTTTTCAGCTCCCATCTTTACTTCATGTTACCAGAAGAGAGTGAAGGAAACCTGGCCATTTACAGGTCTGCCTTAGTTCAAAACAGCAATCTCGCAATCCTTGCAAAGGTTCGTAAGATTGATGATTCTGTCATATCTTTTTCCCTTGGACTGATTATCAAAGTTTGCTTTGTTTTCTTAGAGTTTCAACTTATCTGATTACATGCAGTATTCTCATGGGTGAGCTTCTTAGCCATTGTTTTATTGATGTGGACTTAGTTGTTTTAATTTATTTTTATCATAAGCTCATATGGCTTGTATATTTGATGTTTTTTTTAGACCAGATCTTTGCAAGGAGGAAGATTTAGACCATGCTATGGCAAACTGCTTTGAAGCTATCTTGGGTATGTGGAAAGATTGTTTGACTGACTGATTGACTCTTGATTGATTGATTGATTGATTGATTGATTGATTGATTGATTCAGTGATTCAGTGATTCAGTGATTGATTGGTTTAACAGCTTCAGTCCTTCATGCCTACTTGCTTATCAACGTACTGTTTACTGATTCATTTGTCTATACAGGTGCAATCTTTCTAGAAGGAGGACTTCCAGCAGCTACAGAGTTCTTTACCAAAATGGCATTCACGGAAGAGGTACAATTGATTGAGTATTTATTAACTTTAAACATTTCTTTGTTTGAAATATCAGTTGATTAAATATATCTAAGACATATTATATTCTTGGATTTTCTTTCAGAAACTAAGAAATGTTTGGTCTAGGAAACCAAAACATCCCTTACAGGTAMACCTAGTCAAGACTTTCGAATCTACTTAGAACCGCTCGTTAATAATTTTCAAATACTATAATGAAAGCCATGTTGATGGTTTTTTCTCCTTAGCCGCGCGACAATCTTTTCATTTTTGAGTCTCAAGGGAATGCAGCAATGTATAATTATTTAAGATGTGTCAGCACTTTCAAAAATATTGTCAATAGAAATGAGGTATTTTCAGTGAAAAATATAGGTAAGCTTTGGAACGCTACTAGACGACACCTCACTTTTTTAAAGCGCGCACGCATCTAAGAATCATCCATTTTGGAGAACTAGTGTCATCATCATGCTAATCATCATCATCATCATCATCATCATCAGTCTGTTTCACACCATGTGGTGTATAAGACCTACGTAGGGATCTTCCATCTATCTCGGTCTGTTGCAGCTGCTCTCACTCCTGCCGAAGACACCCACCCTTTTCTTTCTCTTTCAATGTCCTCCTCCAGGCTGTTTTCGGTCTGCCTCTTCGTCGTTTCGCTTCTGGGGTCTCATTTAATACTGGGGATAACCATCATACAACGTTATTAATTCAATCAATTTTAATAGTTACAGCAACCTAATGGTGACAGACATCTTATAAAGTCATCACCTGTATTGCAGGTAATGTTATCATTAGAGCGGATTTCGTATGAGTGGGACACCGTTACCGCACGGTTACCGCACAGTTACCGGACCTGGCCTGCAAAATTTTGGTGAACCAATGGGGCACTAGAATTTGGTTACAGTACGATTACGGTCACAGTACAGTACCGTCCGTTTCCTACTCATACGAAATCCGCTCTATCATCATTATCATCATATTACTGTCATCATATGTAACTATGTACTGTCATCATATGTAACTATGATTATTCGTCTTTATCATGGAAGAAATTACAGGAATTTGAAGAAAGCATTGGCATCAAGTTCAATCATATTCGCCTGCTGGCCCGGGCATTCACACATCCTCAAGTTGGATTCAACAACTTAACTCTGTAAGTGCTCCTTCGYAGAATTGTYCTTTGTTGGGCTTCCTGTCCCTCCCTAAAGATAGACATACTTTTCGTACGTTAATATTCTAAATAACTGCCAACTTGGGTTCTTTCAGAGGTGATAATCAACGCATGGAGTTTCTTGGTGACTCAGTGCTTCAATTGGTAGTCTCCGTCTATCTCTATCGACATTTTCCAGATCATCACGAAGGGCACCTGACGGTAACAATCATTTTGGGCTTCCTTTATAGTAGTCGGAAAGGAGAAAGTGGGTCGAAATCTTTAGTTTGATGGGAGAATCTACGTAGCACTCAGTTGATGTAATATATTCATAAAGATATAATACAAAACACATAATACAATAGAACGAGAAACAATGGAATACAATACATTTTATGAATACATTACATCAACTGCGTGCTACGTAGGTCATCTCGTGCCCAGAGTCCGCACTTTTGCCATCCAGCGGAAGCATACCGCTGACATTAGCCATGAAGACTCTGGGCTCGAGTTTGGATTCGCAGTGTACGCTATGAACGTTTAGCGTAACCACAAACGAACGTCTGCATGGAAGTCAACAGCGTTCAAGACGCAGATGCATTTTATATGTCTTATTAAAGATAATACTTGGATTATTAATTTCTCACGTAGCAAATGCACTTTTTGTTCTTTTTCAGTTGCTAAGAAGCTCTCTYGTCAACAATCGCACCCAAGCTGAAATCTCTCGACAGTTAGGAATGGAAAAGTATATCAACTTTGGATCGAAGGTAGGCGGGAAAAATGTGGTCCGTCGGCGWTTGTTCTTTTTTCTTTCCGGTCGGTCGTTCTTTGATTKATTGCTTACTCATTTGCAATTTWTTCAGGAACTAAAGAAAATTCGAGAAAAGCAACTTGCAGATGTTTTAGAAGGTGCGTACTTGAAAACCTTCTGGAATAAAGAACAGAGTTGTTTCAATAAGCAAAATTTAGAAACTTACATTAGCATGACYGTCTGGACGTCCTTCATACCCCAGCGTKTTTACATCAAAGAAAAAGGCCACATACAGTTATTGTGCCGACAGTCCATTTATAATTTATTTTTGGCCTTGTAGCCCAGAAGGGCGCCAATACTTTCCCATCGGTCAATTAGACGGTCAATTATGGAATATTTATATTTTATTTCTAAATTTGTCTTATTRTTTGTATGATATTTTGTTCTTCCAGCCTTCCTTGCTGCGTTGTATGTCGACAAGGGACTTAAACATATCGAGACTTTTTGTCGTGTGTGTTTTTTCCCTCGAGTTGAGGTGAGTTTTTTACTTTATTTTATTTTGACTACTTTTGATGTTAAACTGTCGTGATAGTTGAATGRTTGATTGGCTGATTTATTGATGAAATGATTGATCGATGGAGGGGTGGATGGATTGGTTGAGAGGCTGGACAATTGATTGATTGATTATTATTTTGATTGATCATTTTTTACTGGTTGATCGATTGATGAATTTATTTCCTGATTGAACGATTAATTGATCGACTGACTGACTGATTRTGCGATATTCGACTTTTGGTTTTCTTTGACAGGATAACATCGTGAACCAGGAGTGGATCGACTCAAAATCTCAACTACAGCAGTGCTGCCTAGCTCTCAGACAAGGAGGAAAACACCCCGATCTTCCAGTATACAAGTCAGTCAAAAATCGAARCATATCTTATATGTATTATGCAACATTTCAATATTAATTTGGTTGTATTCAGAGTTCTCCAAGATTCTGGACCATCGCACCACAAGAAATTCCAAGGTACTGGTAATTCCAATGATAATGATTCATAAATACAAACCTTTTGGTTCGCACATTGCATAAACTCTCAAAAAAATGGGATTTCATTTCCGGTTTTAGAACTTYCGGTTGACGCGCGTACCATTTGGATTTCCCGCTCTTTTTGGTCGAAGAAGCACTTCTSCACCATTAAATATACACTGTATATAGTCAACTCTCGCCTTACGGACACCCCGCTATTAATAAGGACACCTCGATATTACGGGCACGAAATACTGAATCCCCTGCGAAAAACACAAAGAAATGACTGAAAGTAACTCCCGTTAGTACGGACTCTCGCTACTGCGGACACTAAATTTCGGTCCCGAGGGTGTCCGTTATAGCGAGAGTTGACTATATAGGCCTTAACGCAGATTTATGATTAAATTACATGAATTATTTGTGATTAATATGTACTTTTTGAATTAGTTGGTGTATATTACAAAGGAAAGAGAGTCGGTACAGGTGAAGGTCACAGGTATGTTCATTGACTATTGTATTAAAATCGGCACAATATTCGTTCACTGGAAAACAAATCCTTGAAATTTGGTCGGTCTAGAAGAGGCTGTAGTGGTCGGTCTAGAAGAGGCTGTAGTGGTCGGTGTGTGGTCGGTTAAAAGAGGGTCTTCTACAATATGGCAACCGATGTTTTATTTAACGCTCTTGGATATTACTGACATAAAAATACAAGCCCAACATTTTTTGAGTACAATCCAGAATTAAAATAGAGTAAAAAATTCATAAAAATTATGAACAATAGAAATAAAATAACGAAGAATTTGTGTCTGTGCAACATTTTATCGTGTGTTGTTCCAAATCAAGGCATTTTAGGTGTTAATCTGTATAGGAGTTTCTCTCTATTACTACTGGAGTCGGTCAATATCTGACGTTCGTGTTTTTCTTATCAAGTTTGCATGTGGCTGAAATGACTGCAGCAAAAGATGCCCTAGCCTCAAGTAAGTTTATTATTTTGTCATGTTTKATTCTTCGCTTTTTTCTACCAATTATCTACTAATAAAGTTACTGTATTAAGTAAAATGCKTTAAATGGGGCTGACTGTATTTGGATACCATGAGAAAGTGATATTAAATTGTATATAATGATAAAAATATATGTAAAATCCTTTTAAATTTGAGGGGTACATCGATGCATTACACAAGTTGACCGTCTGTATATGTGTGTTTGATGGGTCTCCTCTCTTTTAAGGCTATTTTCCTGAAATGGCCAGACAGAAGCATTTCCTGGACGGAAAACACCAAGAAAAAAGAACTAGAAATTACGAGCCATCCAAGCAAAGGGAAAAGCCTTYAGAWGAAAAGAAAACTGTTCAGGAACCAACGTGGGTGGAACATGAATAGACGACATRATTCTCATCCGCTACGCAAGGCAAGCCTTTACAGACGTAAACGCAACACTATTATCAGACGCTAGAACAAAGCGCAACCGGCCGACGCAAGCAAAAACAAATTTYATACAGTCATTGTATCTCTCGTCTCACTAGCGACGTAAGTGTACGCAAGCGTTAACGCAGACGTAAGCGTAAGAAAAACAAAGAGAAGCAATATTAAAAACCAAAATGCGATACTTTTAAAGAAAACGCTCCGTTCTCTTGTGCATGTGATTTACTTAATAACGCAATGGAAATTTTTGGCCTGTGCGCGTAGAGACGTTCGTCGAGTCGCCTGCGTAATTCTCTTGCGTAATTCTTGTGTCGCACGTGAGAATCAAACTTGAAAATTTTCTCGCACCGTCTCAGTAAGGCGTCTATTCGTCTGATTTTCTTTTAGTCTATTCCTCCGATTACGGCTTAATTATTCTAAGCTAGATTATTTTTCTTTTATTATATTTTTACTATTAATTCCGTCTGCATTATCCCATTTCATGGTATGACAAATTTCCTTGTGCACCATTACGTTGTTTTTAAGGCCTGGTTATAGTTAAACAGACGTCACCTGATCATTTAAATTTTCCATATAAGTCTCTTTTCAAAGTGACAATCTGTCAGGTATATTGAATAATGTATTTTAAACACGTTTTTAGATTTGTTCACCCACTCAATTATTCATAAGTGGCATTCATCGTCGTCATTAAACAAATCTACATTGTGCAAATTATCGAAATTTGTCCAACATACTACTGTATTTTTATACAGTGTGTGTTTATATGAATTTATCTGTATTATCAAAATTGTTTATATAAAGGATTATTTATTTAAATGTTTATAATTAAATCAAGATGTTATTATTCTTCCGAAAAAAAATCAACAACAAGCATCCAATAAACACTTTTACGATGTTTTCATGTCTATTTGTTTTCAATGTCAAATAACAGTTCATCGGAAAAACTGCAATAATATACTTGGCATAATTTGGAGAAATCAACTTTTATCTCGCTCTTATTTGCCGTTTCATTTCTTTTCCCATTTTCCTCTTCCTTTTTCCCCCAMTTCCCATTCCTTTTCGCTTTCTCTCTTCTTTTATGTATCTCGTCACATGTCTTCTCATATCTTTCAGTTTCTTTTCGTTTCTATTCCCTCATTTCTCCCATCTCTTCTCTTCTAATTTGCGTTTCTTTTCACTTTACTCGTCCATATTTGTGCGACATCTTTCCCTTATGATGCGAACAAGCCTAAAGCTCAAGAAAAGACGGAGTGCTGCATGGCGGAGTTCTTCAATTCTCCAAAAATAAATCCACGGATTCAACACTCCATTGAACATCAGCAAAGTCGTGCCTACCGATCTTATTAACTTGATTTCTGGCGAAGGTTTCAGATTAAAAGAAACTACCATCGTAGCAAAGTACGGCGTATAACACACGATGAACGCAAGTGTTACGTAAATGATAGCGACCAGCGACTTCTTGTAAATCGTCATGTTAATGGCATTAGTTGGCTGGAGGTTTGAGATTTGTTTGGTGTGTTTGTGAACTATTCTTCCAATGACTGCAGCAAGAACGGCGTTTATAAGCGTAGGAACACCGTAAAGTGTTGCCGCGAACGGAAAGAAGGCGTTTCCGTAGATGAATAACCTAACTACACCAGAAATAACGGTAAAACTATGAATACAAACTAGCAACCCGACGCAACGTTTACTCGTTATGACTTGTCCATAACGTAAATGAAGACGAATCGCAAGAAAACGATCCACGGTAATGGCGCACAAGATGTAAAACGACGCCATCCCGAAGTTCCACATCGTAAAGCTAAACACTTCGCTCGACACACAGAAAACCTTGGCCCATTGTTTCAAGTCAAAGATTTTAGAAATACTATAGGATACCTGCGCCAAGAGTCCAACCCCCAAGTCTGTCGATGCAAGACCCGCGATGAGAATATTAGATGGTGTACGGATGGAGCTTGTCTTCATGACAGTAAGAATGACCAATGTATTCGCGAGAGCGGACAAAGCAGCAATCACGACATTGATAAAGAATAAAGCCAATATACTTCCTTCGAAGTATTCCACTGATGCTRGTACTTGAACGAGGAAAATAGGATCAGTCAGTAGAGATAGACATCTAGAAGAAATCTTGATTTCGGAAGCATTCATCGTTTTAGTGGGACGTTAACTTGTATTAGCTATCTTAAGCAGMAATCGAACAAATGGTCATGAATTCGAAGCAGTGATCATTAATGCACTTGCCATATTGGCGACGCCGCGATAAGCAGCGCAGTTTGACTCTGTGACAAATGAAAAAAAAGATAATTGAAAGTTGTTATTTCCAGAAACAGACAAATCGAAGCAATGATCATGCACAGAAATAGAAGCAATGATCATGGGCAGAAATAAACAAATTGAAGCAATGATTATGGACAGAAATAGACAAATGGAAGCAATGATTAATTACATGAAAAGGAAGCAGCGATCATCTATAGCACCTGCCAGTCACTACGCCGAAGCAAACAGCTTCTCGGAAAAAAACTGTGACATTTTCAAGTAGTCTGCCTATAACGAGGTTAATTTAATTCTCGTTTGATGAAATCAAACGTATAAAAGAGGAAAAAATATCAGTTAATGTATGCTATGTAACCAAGGACTGCGCAGTTTCTTCAATCGTTCTCTCAGTTTGACAATGGTTAATTAACTAGTCAAATACAAGAGGTTTCTGAGTGATTCCTGATCGCAGGAAATATTATATAAATTTTTTTCTGTAATGAGGGTAACGTTCCATAATCAATGCATACTGAGCTAGGTTTGTTTTAGTCCGTCCTCACAYTTTAGTAGATGTCTGTGATAGTTGAAATAATAATATGGAGTGGTTTCAATAAACCCACGAATTGCCCAAGTGTTCGGTGCTTAATATTAGAGYACAASAGMTTCAACTMRTAAWWAWTWTWYWA